TTTTTTTTTTTTTTTTTTTTTAGACCCCTGCATCTTCGTGTTCCTGCCCATCTGAGCGCACCCGAGGCGGCCGCGCCGTGATAATCACACGACTCTTGGGTCAATGACGAGACGGACAGTCGAGTCCTTTCCAAGGCCGGCTGGGGTTAGACACAGGTGGCCGGGGCGGGAACTGTCCGAGGTCCTGAACCGCCCTGCCTGGTGTCGGACGCCCTAGGTGGGACGGCTGGGTGGACCCGCAGGCCCGGGTCGCCGGCTGTTCGATCAGGGCTCAGGCAAGGGGCGTTTTCAGTGCCGGAGACACAGTCCGCGGGGCATTGGTCTCCTCCTAAGTCTTTGTGCGTAAGTGGTTGGGGTGGATTTCACAGAATGGCTAGAGGAGGCAAGGAGAACAGTGTGTGTTTGTTCTGTCAACGTATAAGGTATGTACCGATTATGGCTAATGTAATGACTTAATATTCCTTTGGTGCTTTTGTGGCAGGACTTGACACGTGTGTCGTAGTGCAAGGACAAAACTCCGCTCCTCTAATCTTTATGGAAACGCATAGCCAGTGTGCGATGATAGAGTAACCAACAAAATGTTTTGTTTAGCTCACAGGGAGTTCCTCCATGCCTGTGAAGTTCTCATTATGAAGTTAATGTCAAAATTAACACATTGCAAGTTTCTATTTTTTCCAAGGTTTTCAACTGGACTATAGCACGTTCCCTAGCACGACATTTGATATGTCCCCATTAATTTTTTGCTCAAAAATGACACCCCAAAATGCAATATTTGTTCATTGTAGGAAATGGAAAATACAAATAAGCAAAACTGAAATAAGTTGCTTTCAGGAAACCATCGAACTCTTTAGCAACAGAATAAAAACTCGGGGAGGGTGAGGAGTGAGAATGTCGCCCAGAGCCAGTGGGGCTGAAGGAGGGGAAATGCTCTCTGGGGACATCTCAGGAAGGCTGAAATCACAGTGTAGGCTTTTAGCCAGTGGCATCATTACAGAATGACCAACTTTGAGGATTGAAATATAGTTGAGGGGACCGTCAGACTTGTGCAATCTCATTTTTTCCCTATCATATGTCACTTTACACTTGCTGACATAAGTAACAACCATCTGGGCACTTTTCGGACCTAAAAGAGCTATGTGGTCTCGGAGCTTGAATCTGATGGCCTCGCCTACCGCGCCTGGGCTGTGTTCTTGAGCTGTGCCTCGGCAGGCTGTGACGGCAGCAGCCTATCCCTTGGTGTCAGGAGGAGACGTGGCGTTTGTCCAGTGTCTCCCAGTTGCCCCTAGGGCAGAGGCACCGCATGGCCGGTCACTGGCTGCCAGCGCCATCTAATGGCTGCCCTGAGAATGCTGGCCCGAGCCTGGCCCCCGTCCAGAAGCCAGCCCCGAGCTGACCCGGCTCTTGGGGAGTGGGTAGGGGTGGGGCAGAGAGAAGGAAATGGCTTCCTGAAGTAGACAATGAGCGCCAGGGAGAACTTTCGCTTCCAAGGCTGCCCCTCTACAGACCGTTTGGCCCACGCCTCCCCAAACGACAGATTTCTTTTAGACAAACTTATTTCAATATGCCAGTGTTCATTAGGCGTGACAAGACTTAGTCATCCACACTTTAATGTGAATTACTTTTCTTATCTAATTAGGTTTCTTCCTAGCAGCTGGCTGAGGTGATCTGAAATCCAAAATGACTGTAGTGTTGGTGGCGTGCTGATCACAGACCGTGGGGTGGCTGCAGAGGGTGGACCTGGGGAGGAGAACTTGGCAGCGTGGGAGCTAGCGGGGATGGGGGCAGGGCCACAAGGGGCCGGAGGCACCACAGATGCCCCTCTTTACTGCACTTTGACCTTGTGACCTCAGCATCTGCCCACGGGCACCTACTGGATTCCCCAAAAGTATCTGGTGGCTGCTCACACCAGGCGGTAGCTCCCCTCTGGTCTGTCCATCTCTTCTCCCTTGACTCTGACGTCCTCTTCGAGTCCCACTACTTCAGATCGTGTTTGAGAGACTTAGAGAGCAACAGGTTTCACAGGTAATGTGTTCAGAAGATGAGCTGGTTTTAAAAGAATTGGAATCTGCTTTAAAAAGAAATCTCCCCACAGTTGCTGGGGTCTGGGTAACAGTAATTGCCTGAGTGATTTGTGTAGAGGATATGAAATCAGGTTGCTGGAAGTTTCGACTAAATGGGCCAGTGGTTTTAACTGCTTTTATGCAAGTCCAATTCTCACAGGAAACCGCTTCCGAGGAATGATAGGGTCCTGGTGGAAGAAAGGGGGAAGTGACCATCATGGGCAGGGATTTCAGAGTTCTTTGTTTTTATTGTTACTCCTATTGCTTGGATCTGGCGTGCTGGAGACACAGCTTCAGGCAGGTGAGACACAGGACAGCTCTGTGCTGGGAGCTCAGCCTTACTTCATCATGGAAGTCATTATCTCTCTCTGGGCTTCAATTTCCCCATCTCCCAAATGAGGGACTGAGCCAAGTGATCCACCAAATGGCTTCCAATCCTAAATAGTTTACCCAGGTTCCACTCCCTTCCTCCTCATCACAACTTAGTCCACCACCTGCACAGCCACCTTCTCCTCAGCACTGCCCCTGTCCTCAAAAAACCTGGAACCCTACAAGTGAGTGCGTTGTTGATGTTGGCTCACAGTCCTTCCTAGTGAGTGGCCAACATTGTTCTGTGCCTCGCAGGGGTTCCACCAATTTTGTTTGCCTCTGCAGAGCCTCAGCCTGCCTGGAAGATGCCGAGATCGTGCTGCAGCCGCTCAGGGGCCCTGCTGTTGGCCTTGCTGCTTCAGGCCTCCATCGAAGTGCGTGGCTGGTGCCTGGAGAGCAGCCAGTGTCAGGACCTCACCACGGAAAGCAACCTGCTGGTATGTGGGCCATGGCTGCCATCTTGGTTTGGAGGTCAGATGGGGCTGAGGCTGGGACAGCACAAAGGCAAGGGGTGTGGGGAAGGGAAAATTCATTTCCAGTGATACGGGTGGTTCAACCCAGGGCAGGAGCAGAACCTAGCAGTAGAGTTAGAATTGGGCCAATGAGGGGAGGAAGCAGCTTTGGGGAGATGGTTCCAGTCCATGGTGCCCGATTATCCTTACACCCTGCCCTGGCTTCTTCTGTGGAGACCTCACACCTCTTAAATTATTTACTGATAGTGCCATAATAACAATAATTGCTCCCTCCATCTATTCTATTTTTAAAATATATTTTAGCCCCTAAATAATTCCTGTTTAAAGACCTTCATGCCACTTGCCATGTTTACCCCATATTTCTTCCCCTTTGATCTATTACGAGTTACAAAGCCAGCTACATAGTTCCACAAATCATGTCTAGAGGAAGAAGGAAAAACCAAGGCATCATTTTTCTGTAACTTTTTATGCTACGTTTCTCTACTGTCTTTCAGAGGCATGTAAAGGCCATCTGTGCTAGGCCAGAGCTCCTTCCAGGCCACCACAGGGTGTGTGTATGTGTGTGTTTGGGGGGCATAAGTGAGAAATGATGCCAGGCCCAAGGATTAAAAGATATACAGCTGGTACCAGTGACTGAGATTTCCCCGTGGCAGCACCCGCCAGGTGTAGATGGAAGGCACAGCCCTATGATCTGTGGGTCACAGAGGAGAACATGAGTTAGGGAAAAAGGAGAGAGAGCCTCACAGACACAGACCAGGTTTCATGTCATATAAAACAGCAACAGAGCCCAAGAGACTCTGTGAGCTTCACCTCAGAGATCCAAGAGTCATATGGCACAGGCTCTCTTGTTGAGAACTCAGCAGAGGAGGAGCCCCGGACACAGCCACAGCCTGTGTATTCTGTCACCAATGAGCTGTGGGACAGTGACCAGGTCCTTTCACCGCTGAGATTCCTGCTTTATCTGCCAGAGTGAGGGGGAGGGGGACTATGAATGAGATGGGTTTATTTTCCATTGTTAGCAGTCTGCAGTCCTATAATTGTGTATGCCTAGAGTATGATATCTCCACCTCAGTAGAGTGGTGGGATCCTTTTGTAGTCTCCTCTGCAGTTCCCAAATAACTGAAAACTCAGGTTGCAGCACGTGAGACATTTTCCTAAGCAGGTATGTGCCACAGTCAAGAACTCTAGGAATCTGAAGCAGACACACAGGGCCATGGAAGTAACCCCAGCCTCTACCCTCCCTCTGGTCAGAACAAGGTGATGGGGTGAGCTGTCCTATCCCCAAACTCAGGTATTGGGGAAGGTGCATGAAGATCAGCTCACGAGACTTGGAAGAATGAGAGTGCCTGGAGATCAAGAGAGCTTCCAGGAACGGGGACTGAGCATAAAGCAGGCTTGCAGATTCCTGAGGTCTAGGCGTTATTGGAAACACGGGCCCTCCAAGCCACACTTCTGTCACCTGGGGCGATTCTCCCCCAGATTTCAGTCCCAGGCTGCATCTGGACTTGGACTGAACCATATTTATTTATTTATTCAGTGTCTATTAAGTGCCAACAACTCCCACCATCTGCCTTTTTTGGGGCAATTTCTCCAACATATCAGGCACAGAGCTCTAGCACACTGACTCCGCTCACAAAAGCTATGGGGAGATACACAAGTAAACCAGTCAGATGAAGCTATGTTGTAGTTGCGAGGCAGAAGAACGCAGGGGTTCAGCGGACAAAAGGGGATGTCAAAGACGAGGCCGCATGCCAAGATGGCGGGGTGGGCCCACGTGCTTGGCAGGGAGACCTCCAGGTGGGGCATTGGTGGGCAGGATGAGGCCAGAGAAGCACGGGCCACGGAGGCACTGGCAAGGGCAACACGTGACCAGAGAGGCACGTGACCATGGAAGCACGTGGTAAGGGTGGCACGTGGCCAGAGAGGCAGGTGGCAAGGGCGGCCGGTGTGCAGGGGGCGCTAGGCGCAAGGCTGACCAGGCCGGGCCTGCAGAGCCCGGGCCGCCCTCACGCCGTGGCGCCTC